CAGGCCAATATCCGTAAAAACAGTGACAAATAGACTTCACCCTGAACCAACAAGCACACAAAATTGGTTAAAATGGAGGTCAACCAGGACACCCAGGACTAATCCAGCATCTGCCAGACCTAAATAATAAGTAAATGAAAAATAATCACATGCTGCAATGATACCATCTTTCACAAGAAGCTTTCAAGTTGATGCCCATCCTCTTTGTTGGATGTTAGACCTCAATTTTCAACTAGATGATAAATTTGGAAATACTATACTTGGAAGATACAGGAGTAGTTGAAAGTCTATGCAATGGCATGTTTTGTCACATTTAAATCATAAGATGGTTGTGGTTACATATCCATAAATATGATGCCATCCTCTTTAAGTATAACAAAATACAATGTCATTACTGTACATGCATATAATTATTGGAGATAAAAGAATGGTACTAAATACTTTATCTTATATATAATGATGTGCTAAACTTGACACACATCAAATGTCTCAATTCCGGCCTTACTGGAGTGGTGCATACCTCCTTTACCTGATGTGCAATTCATCACATGCCCTGATCTAGAATAGTGAACTATTTTATTATTTTAAATGTTAAGGGTGTTATGTATTAAGATACACAAAATGATATATGTTATTAAATCTATAAAGTTCCTATGATAAATTGACTAACATTTATTATGTTTGTGATACCTATGTAACGATGTGCAATCCATTTTCTATGACTGGTCAAATGTATGCCCTAGCGGCGATGTATGTAACCCTCATGGCTAGCAACAATAAAGAGCAGATGTAGAAGAGTCTCTCTCTACAAACCTTACAATAAAAGGGTTTATCCAAGACTTCCTGATCCCTACTTGGTGAACGAGGATGGAGATAACGAAGTGCATATCTTATGATTTCAGGTGAATATGAAGTGATGTTATACTGTTTGGGAGATCGATGAAAACATCCTGAATAAAGGGAAACACACACAAATAAGCAAACGTGATACTGTCTTCCAAAGTTTCTTACTAGTTTATCATTGGTTTCTTAGTTCTTAGCATCCCAGATAACATTTCTTAATTTACAACAATTGACCTACAGTTCCTTGTAAGCAATTTTTTAAAACAAATGCATGTAATGTTAATATAAAAGAGACTGAATATGCAGAATTTTTAAACTAAAGAAACTGTACTTATCAATTCTTGTTATGTGTTTCATTTTGTATAGAAAAGATATTTAATTGAATAACTGATTTATTTTTTCAGCAAAGTGAGTCCAAGCATTCTTTTCGATTAATATACAAGTGATTTTACAAACTTTTTCAACTGCATGCCATCGCACGCCTGAATGCTCAAGGAGTGCGATTAACCACACACCTTCCCTTGAAACTTTGATCAGAATTAATTGATGCTTAGGAATTAGTAACATATAACAAGATATATATATATATATTTATATATATATTATATATATATATATATATATATATATATATATATATTATAATGCTACTTGCACCTGCTATTGTTTATCCATTGGGTTATGCCATTTCTTGTAGAACTATAATGGCACCATAGACAATTAATAGATAAAACTCTGCTATGATCCAGTGAGCATTTCAAAGAAGCTAATGACTCTATCTGACAGTGAGAAATAATATAAAATATTTACACCTATAGATGGTGCTAAAGGGGAGCAGAAAAACCTGCTCTTGTTGCTCAGCTGCTGCAGACTTTTAGAAGTTGAGACCTTGGCAGTGGGGAGTGTGGGTTCATTGCGTTTGATGGTGATTTTTAACTTTGTTTACGACTGGTTCACTTGGGTAAGAATGTATTCAATGTATTTATGTAGCTGCTTAACTACATAATAAATGCTTCAACATGCCAAAAATACTTCTCTGATAACTGTTTCTCCTTTTGCCTGGAGGCCATTGTAAATGCCTGTCATGCTTGATTTTTTTTTTGTTTTTATTATCCTGATTTACAACTGTTGTATTCACATTTCTTACATAACTTTGGGAAGTTCTGGTAAATTTTACTCAAATGTAATGCAAACGATACAAAACTTTAGTTACATATTTTGAAGTCTTTACTAGCCTGTATTTATATATTTTTATTTCTAATATGTATTAAAGTTTCCTTTGCCCTATAAGTTCTCCCTTAAAATTGGGAGATTCATTAAAAATATATACATAGGAGTAGTAGCATGAAGAACAAAACAGTACATATAAGTTTACAAATGTGAGTAAAACAGTTTGTTCATGTAAAATATTGAATAGAAAATGGAATAGAAATACAATCTCTCATTACTTTGTAAGTCCACAAACAACATGTGCATTTTAAATCAAAATTATAGGGTGAACAGGGAATTACACCAAGCAAAAATATCATAATATAAGGAACTCATGAAGACACTTTTTTCATATGCATACATTCATGTCAGCTATATATGAACACTAATGATAAATCATTTATATTATATACCTTTCTATATTTTGAATTCTAATTAAATATAATAA